CAGCCTCATTCCGTGCAAACCCTGGAATCTGGGTCACGCCTGCAGCCTCGTTCTGTGCAAACCCTACACTTCAAATATAGGGGGTTCAATAACATTGAACGTAACCCTTTCTTGCGTTGAGGTCTGCAACAAATTGCAAGACGCCTGTCTCATACAAATTTCCAGCCCATAAAAATGGAGAGCGTTCATGCCAAGTGTACCCGCCTTTTTGTTGGGTCGCTGGTGCACCCCCTGGGAGCCAGGTCCGGTTTGGGCCAACTGGGCTGACCCATCACAATACATTGTGATAAGTAAAACATGATGTCCGCTGCTGAACTCCTCTCTGCCGGGGGCGCTTCAAGGCTTGGGCGAAGAACAGCGCGGTCGGCCCCCTGGCGTACCGCCGAACATGGCGGCGTTCGGCAACGTCGCATGCCGACCTCGCCGCATCCAGATGTTGGAGGATGCTTAGAACAGACTTGGGGAGTTGGAAGTAGGCCGTAAGAAGTAGACATGGGTGGCCAACAACGGGCAGGCATGAAAGGACAACACGGAAGTAGAAGGACGTGGGTGGACGGCACCAAATGCGTGGTGGTGGACGAACGCGGGTGTGCGGCGGTAGGCGGCCCGCAGTACAGCGACACCCCATGGCAACAGACGGACGGCAGTTGACGGGGATGGGAGGGGAACACAGGACGGACGTGAGCGGGTGGCAGTGAGGACCGCTAATTTGACGATCCTGAGCGGTTGGTGGCTCGCTCTGCTGCTTTCAAGAAAGTGTGAGCAATTCTCTCAGGCGTGCCTAGGTTGAAGCGAATTCACAATTACAAGCGACTCCCGATTAAAGTAAGTGCCGTGGTCCACCTGATTGCGCAAACTGAGAGTTCTGAAACTATCACTGAATTGCAGTCACCGTTTGTCTAGCATCGTAGCACGGGCTAGGACATCATTCAATCAGCAGGAGGGCGTCTTGTTTTTAATGGGTGAATCATGAAAGCCGGCAACGTCCACCCACCCGTCAACGGCTCCCGGTGCACCGCCAGTGCTGCAGCTGCTGATCCTGCAGCCGGGGATCCGCAAGCGCCCGGAGGAAGCGCCTTCCCTGAAGCAGCTGATCCAGGACCCCTACATCGTCATCTGCGCCGGTTAGTGCCCGCCGACCCGCAGGCACGGGGCGAGAGGCGGACCAGCCGCAAGCAGCGACGGTGTAAAGTCCCGTGATCCCATGGCAGTGATGCACCAGGATCCCGTGATCCTGTGACAGTGATACACCAGGATCCCGTGACATTGATACACCAGGAGAGCCACAGGCACATCCCCGGCCGGCAGCATAAGCACCAATCATGCGACTTATTAACCGTCATAGCTAATTTTCCAAAGCTTTCGACGGGAAGATTCTGCATTCAGGGTCTGTCCGCTGCAGGGCAAATTTCCGACTCCAGCGCGACAACCAGCCCGGGATTGGATCCAGCGGTTTAATCCGCTACACGCCTCAATGACAATGCTATAAACGCCGTTTTCATCCGCGTGACTTTTTTCTGGGGCCCGATACTGCACAACTCACGCTCCTATCTCACCGCCATGGCCGTTTTCCGGCAGGGGCCATCACCATCGCCAACTCGGGGATCGCCATGCTGGAGCCGTCGCTGCCCATCTACATGATGGACACGATGAAAGCGGACAAGTGGCAGCTGGGCGCCATCTTCCTGCCGGCCTCCATTTCCTACTTGATCGGCACAAACCTGTTCGGCCCGCTGGGACACCGAGTCGGCCGCTGGCTCGCCTCGCTCGTCGGCCTCGTCATCATCGCCGTCTGCCTCGCTTGCGTTCGTACCGACTCGCGCTCGTCTACCTCGTGTGCACGCGTTCCCTCACTCGTCTGCCTCGTGTGTACGCGTTCCCTCACCCCCATGCACCGTGTGTACACATCCCACTACCCGTATGCCTCGTATGTATACATCCCATCATCTGCCTGCCTAGTGTGGATGCGTCCCCTCATTCGTCTGCCTCGTGTGTACACATTCCATCACCCGTATGTTTTATGTATTCACGTAATTTCATCCGCCTGCCTAATGCAGACGCGTCCCCTCACTCGTCTGACTTGTATGGATGCACTCCCTCACTCGTCTGCCTCGTGCGAATGCATTCCTTCACTCGTCTGCCGTGTGTACGCGTCTCCTCGCTCGTCTGCCTCGCTGCCAACGCCGTTTGTCTCGTCCGTGCGAGTGCCGCCTCGCCTGCCAGCCTCGTCTGTCTTCCTCAGTGACAGCACGGATGTGTAGTGCGCGCCGGTGATGTCGTTACAGGACATATGCAACCCGGTGCTCCCGGCTGCGACCCTAGAAACCTGAGCTCCAGCACCTGGCATTGTGCACAGAGTACACTGAACCCAGCAGGCTGAGTGAGATCTTGTGATAGCAGTGCCGTAGCTTCATACATAACCACCGTGTCCGTAGTCGGTGACGCCAATGGATTCACGAGACACATAACGGCTTTGATAGACATGGCGGAAGTGCAGCCCTCCCCCCAAGGGAAGACATCGTACAACAGGTTAACTCATGCGAACTGCAGTGAGGGTATCTTGGCTCGGGAATCTGAGGGGCGGCACGGACCAGCCGTCCGCCTGAATGGCGTCTCTTCCAGATCCCGCTGGCCGTCAGCATCAACCACCTGATCGTGCCGAACGCCGGCCTCGGCTTCGCCATCGGCATGGTGGACTCCAGCATGATGCCGCAGCTCGGCTACCTGGTGGACATCCGCCACGCCGCCGTCTACGGCAGCGTCTACAGCATCGGCGACGTCGCCTTCTGCCTCGGATTCGCAGTCGGTTAGTGAGATCCCACACATATTTAGTCATCTCCAAGTCAAGCTGTGGCTCTGCGCCTTCGCTAGTGTACTTCCGCGATTCACGGCGACCAACTGGACAGACGGCATCCATGGCTCACTCGTTAAGTCCGTTTTACCGGAGTCAGCTGTCAGATCAGGAGATGCCAGCCTGAGCGGGCCATCCGTTGGCGGGAGTACCCGGGCAGGCAGAACACTCCGGCCTGACTCAGCCCACCCGCAGGTCCCGCTCTCAGCGGCACGCTGGTTAAGTCCATCGGCTTCAACTGGATGCTGTACGGCATCGCGTTCATCACGCTGCTGTACGCGCCGCTGCTCGTCTTCGTCCGGAATCCACCCACTCGACAGCCAGAGAAAAGAGGTGCCTCCCACTGGACGGCTGGCAGGGGGCTTGGCGACTGAGCCGGGCCGGTCACTGAACGCGCCACGCCGAACCGATGACGAGCTGTCCAACCGAACAACAGCCTGCGTAGGCCATACGCTGGCCCCAATACGGGCCTGAGACACAAACGCCGAGTCCCTACTGGCGTCTCGAAGCTACGACTGTATGCTTGTACTGGGGAAACACGGTCGGTAGGAGCTGCATCTTGAGCTAGGCGGCGCCGGTACCGTCGCCTGAAGGCTTCAACCCGGTTTGAACAGAAGCCGTTTCATTCGCCTGTTTTTGTCTCTGCAGACCATTCAGCCCGCTTTTTTCCTGTCTGATCATGCTGATTGGAAAGTGTGCTCTCGATCTCGGAGGCCTCGTTATCCAAGGCTGTTTTTGCGCGAGGCTAAATTGAATTTCAATTAGGCCCGCTGCGCGCTGATTCGATTGCGAGCCGAGGTTAACTAATGCGAATCTCTGGCCTGACATGCGCCGACGCTGTCCGCAGTCACTCTACAACGACAAGTCCTCTGTGCGCTACGTCACATACCAGAACGAAGAGGACGAATGATATCCGTGAGCTGCGGGGGCCGCGCGACCGGCGCGCCCCGCAGCTCGGCGCCGGAGCCGGCCGCGAGCCGGCAAACGAGCGGGCTCCGGCCGGCGGCGGCCGCGTCTGAGGAGGGGGCGGCCGGTCGCCGCGGCGGATGGCTGCGCCGCGGCGTCCGGCCCCGTCCGGGATCAGTGCCGCCGCCGCCCGCCGCCCGCCGCCCCGCACCGGGGCTCCACCCGACGGGCTGGTTGCCTGGGGACCAATCGATGTCGTGTTATCTGTGCGCGCTAGCGCCCTAGCCTTAAGGGTCCACACGCTGTGGAGGCGGCCAGGGCGGCGTCCGCCGGGACCGCGCTCCGGGCGGACGACGCGGCCGGGCCGGCGTCCCCGGCCTCGGCTGCCGACGGGGCGGACCGCCAGACACGGCCGAGCGCCGCCAGCTGCACCTCACGACCTCTGCCTCCGGCCTGCACCGCACACTTCCCACGCCCTACCCGCCGCACCTGCCCGGACCTGCCCGACTCGGCAGCGGACCCTTCTGCACGCGACACGCACACCGCGGCGCGCGCCCTCCGGCTGCCGCCCCGCCGGTGTACATTGCACCAGTGTATCCAGTCTTCCAGGCGGGCACCCGTCGCCTCTGCACGGTCCTCTGCCGGCTGGCGACGCTTCAGTCACTCATGCTGGTGTTTGCCCAGAGACTGACGCAGAAGAAATGTTCGTCGTAGGGATGGCGCGCCTGGCAACCGCACCGGCCACATACCGGCCACCATCCCATGGATCGATACACGTCATGAGCGTGCGCGTAGACCTCGGCTGACCAGCACACAAGATCACTCGATCTGGGCTACGATGTGCCCAAGTTATGGTCCATGTTACGGATGAGAGGCGCCTGCAGAGCTTAATTAAGACCGAGGCCACATCAGCCCATGGCATATGCACTCAGCACACGCCGCGCCCAGCTTGCTGCACTTGTAGCCCACTACCGCATCCTTTCCCGCCCGCCCAGCGCGCTCACGAGCTTGGAGGCTAGTCCTCAACCTTTGCGCCGTCCGTCTCACCGCCAAGCATCACCGGCCCGTTCAGGGAGCCTCTCAGAGCGTGTCGACATGCGAGCTCCTGCTGCCAGCCCGTTCCCGGCGCGTTCGGTGGTGGCCTGCGGCGGCGCGCTCCACGTCGCTCGCCAGTCACAGTCGGCCCCCGTCCGCCCGCCCGGCGGCGCCCCCTGTACGCCGCCACAGCGTGTCGAGGATGGTCTGAGGGTCCAACGATGTGCCGCAACACTGTTTATTGTTACTTGTCAACAAAACAAATCCACTAAAAACTAATAAAACGGTGAAAATCCCCAACCGCGTGTAGGTCATCGCGAAGAGGTCAGTGAGGGAACGTCGGACGCCGAAAGTCCGAAGACACCAGCCGTCACCGAGTGCGTGCGTCGGGGCAATGAGGCGATCCCCATAGGACGGGACTCGGAACGAGAACCGGTGCGCAGGTGCGTGACAAACAATCTCCCGGGAAATGGATGCCGCAGAGCAACACCGGAACACAATAATAGGTGGCAATACCAGATGGAATGTCCAACATCATGAGCATGGCTAGATCCGGTAACCGTGGGTAATCAGCCTCATGTCAAGAAAATCGGAAGACAACGCGGCACTCCTGTCTCCATTCACAAAAGAGGATCAGCACTTTCCTGAGAAAAAGCCTGCTATATCAAAAGTACAGATACGTCTGCAAAACGAGGTTCCTTTCCAGCGCTAATCCTCCAATGTCAGATGACTATCATTCTAGCCTGAAGGAATGCATGCGACCTAGAGCAACCGCATCCGATGTATTGATGAACAAGATTCTCTCTTCTCTTTCTCAGCTGGATAGCAAGCGTTCCGTTCTCACAGCGGGATGCGGGCGGGTCCGATCCCCGGCTCCAGCAGGATCGCTCTCAGCCACCAGCGAGGCCGGCGTCCGAGCTGTGGCCACCCACACCCACTGCGCGCGCCGGCCGCTAGCTGCTCTCCTCGCCGTCGGGCGTCTCGCGCTGCCGGAACTCGTGGTACTCGTCGTACTTGCGGCTGTCGCCGCGCACGCGGTCGGCCGGGTACTTGCGGGCGTTGTGCGCCATCTTGCGGCTGGCGGCGGCCGGCAGGTCTACGCCGCACACGTGCGACAGCCGCACCAGGTACAGCAGCACGTCGCTGAGCTCGTGCTCCAGCCGCTTGCGGTCCTGCTGGGACCAGTCGGGCAGCCCGGGCGCCACCTCGCCCCGCCACTGGCTGCGGCCGACAGGGAGCTCGTGTCACGCACTCGGAGGCGACTCGCCGGGCGCGCACGATGCGGCCGCGGGCCGACGCAGAACCACGGCGGCCGATACATACACATGTGACAGTCACACAGGCCCAACTATGGTGGTTATCAGGCTGTAGACACGGCACACGCTACGGCCGAGGACCGACGCAGAACCACGGCGGCCGATACATACACATGTGACAGTCACACAGGCCCCACTATGGTGGTTATCAGGCTGTAGACACGGCACACGCTACGGCCGAGGACTGAAGCAGAACCACGGCGGCCGATACATACACATGTGACAGTCACACAGGCCCAACTATGGTGGTTATCAGGCTGTAGACACGGCACACGCTACGGCCGAGGACCGACACAGAACAACGGCGGCCGACACACACACATGTAACAGTCACACAGGCCCCACTATGGTGGTTATCAGGCTGTAGACACGGCACACGCTACGGCCGAGGACCGACACAGAACCACGGCGGCCGACACATACACATGTAACAGTCACACAGGTCCCATTATGGTGGTTATCAGGCTGTAGACACGGCACACGCTACGCCCGAGGACCGACACAGAACCACGGCGGCCGACACACACACATGTAACAGTCACACAGGTCCCATTATGGTGGTTATCAGGCTGTAGACACGGCACACGCTACGGCCGAGGACCGACACAGAACCACGGCGGCCGACACAGACAGATGTCCAGACACACGTCACAGTCACACAGGGCGGCCTATGGTCACCAGGCGGCAGACATGGCTCGGATGGAGGTACCATGGCGCACGCCGCGGACGAGTGCAAACTCGGGTTCTTCATACACAAATAATTACACCAGCGAGGCATCACGCTTACCGGACGATGTGCCTCGTTACCAGCATTCCCTCTTTAAATCAAAATGTCGATGGCAATACCTCAACGTAAGTTCAAAGCAAAAGTGTTAACATAAACTGGATATGGCTGAAGGTCATTTATTTCGATATACGATCGCATAGGGCAATGCCTAGAGCGCTCGCCTCAACCTCTAGGGAGTTCCAGTAAGGATTCCGATCATGATACTTCTAAGAAGCTCTTCTAGAGCTTAAACGAGCTCGCGCATATGGAAACATAGAACTGCATTTTAGTGCACAAGTTCGTCAAGAGGAAGGGAGGCCCAGCGCACTGACCCCTCCCCCCCCCCCCCCAACCACACAGATCACACGCCCACAGACTGGACAGACGACCAGCCACTGTCACTGCTGCTCGAGCGCTGGCGCATCCCAGGCATGCGCAACAGACACGCGGCCCGCTCCCTGTGCGGTCGGCTCACACTGAGATGGGTTTATTTACACGGGTTCGCCGAGCCCATGGTAGGCACGGGCCATCTGTGCAGTGTTCAATGACACATCGCACGGTGCATCAAGCGAGCTCCGTGCCTCATGCGTACAGAGCGCGTGGGCCCGCGTACAGAGCGTGTGGGCCCGCAGTTCCCCCTTCGGGTCACGTGGAACCCCGACTTCCCACAGCCATAGACTGACATGCAGAGGCGTAGGAGAACTTCGAAAGCAGCACGAGTGGCACGTGCAGCCACAGGCCGCCGGCCTGCCCAGCGAGCCGGACGCCCCAAGCACTAACCAGTGTCATCTATTGGACAAGCATGGTAAAAGCTTCTGTTAAGTCCCTGGCAGCGGTATGTACGTTTCTCTGTCACCATTTACTAATGTAGCAAACGTTACTCTCAACCGCGTCTAATGCTGACAAAGGAAGAACAATCGAAATAAACTTCCAAGACGCCATGCCCGCCATACGTGTGCCCCCCCCCCCCCCCGCCCCTTACATACAGCCGATCTCTGCAAACATTTACGAAAAAAGCGCACAGCGTCCAAGCATAGTCCCACTTAAGCCCATGTGAGCCGACTGTAACCCGAGGACCCATGACCTCTGGCACGTGGCCGGAGGATGTGGCGTGACATCTTTGACGTCCAGTGGTGGATTACTGCCATCGGAAGAGGCCCACGACGTTTGACTTACAATATTTCCGAGAGCTCTCCGACTTCGCCAACCATCGCCAGCAGCAGATTCCTTGGTGTGTGGTACTGGTTCCAATCACGCTCAGTGGCAAACTGGTTCATGCTCGCTCGCCTGCGATCCCAGTGGAGGCGGGGGAGAGTTTGGTATAGTAAGTAACAGCTTACCAGGACAGAGATGCAAGTTGAGGGGCAGCAAAGCAATACAGGCTCTCATGATTTAACACTCAATGTCATCTGATGACATCAATCATGGAAAAACCAGATGAAAACACAGTACAAAGGCAGCATACCTTCAATTACGAACACGCCATCGGCGGCATGTGATCACAGAAGTCATAATGGATGTAAGAGCCATTGTCACTGTCTGGATACTATTCTGGTATAAATCAATGACTTGTTTAACTCCTATCACCATGGAACCGATGTAACTGAGCCTGACCAATGTGGTTGAT